TCTATATATATATGCATTTACGTATTTTTCTTGATTTTTTCTTAATATAATATTGTTCTTATATTTGTCGATTTTTAAAAATATTTCTTATATACTCAGACAAATATTCATATTTTTTATTTCAAGATCTTTTTAATATTTAAAATGCTAATACAACTGATTGATTTATAACTATTTACAACTGATTGATTTATAAGATTGTACTTAAGATAGTCTCAAACATAAGAATCGATTATGGATATTGGTCTTAATATCATTTTATTTTTTATCTTATATATTTTTAGCTGCTCTTGTGAACGAACACGTTTTTTATTGTAATAATTAACACTGATAAATCATATTTTGTGAATTTTATAATTAAGTAGTTCTACGAATATCTGAACAAGAATAATACTACAAAAATTTGCAGAGAAATTATCGAGAATATACTACGCAATATAATATTCATATGGCAAGTATTACGACTGAAATATTTAATTTTGATGTGTGTATTGTGCGAAGCATAAATTCATAATGAATAATAATATATCGAGTGAATACAATATATGCACAAGAGTAAAATCATCGTAATTACATTTTACAATGATTGAAAGTCAAAACGAATGAAAGTCTGTAAGCAATCGATTAAGTAGGAATTCGAATTAAGGAACTATTTGTGTTTAGCAAGCATTCCGCTAGCTCATGCGTGTCGCAACACACAGACTATGCTACAGTATACTACACCACTGCTTGTTCGTCGACAACCTATCTGACCGGTTCTTGCACCTGACCAAAAGCAACAAAGGGAAGGAACGAAATGGAATGCCTTTCTCCGTTGATTCTCCTGGATAACCGAATGAGACGATAGCCGCGATACTTCTTGAATTCGAATTTAATTTGTGGATTTGTGGTAAATCATATAATTAAAAATATTATCGTATATTTCGATCGATTCAATCATTTCGCAATCAACGACTTGTTGCAAAATCTATGCGCGAAAAGCTAAGAACAAATAAGACCTCTTTTCGTAGTATCTCGATAATATCTCGATTCTACTTTCTTAACAAATTTTCCAAATAGTAATTGATATAATTCAGATTTCAAAAAATTTCGCAGTAAATGAAATCACATTATATCGGCAATTTCTCGACACCAATATAAATAACACGAGATAATTTAGTCAGGCGATTGGAATAATTTTGCGAGAAATGGACTTTCTACTTACCCAAAAGTGGCTCATGATATTAACGTCCATCGTCCTGATAATAAGTTCGTCCGGAGTATCCAGAAATTTCATTCCCGTAACAATGCCCGCATTATTGATAAGAACCGTTACCTATAATATATTAGGTGTAGTAAAAAGAAATCCATTATTTTTCCATTCAATTTCATGCAAAAATAATGGATTTCTTTTTACTATATCTAATATTATCTAATTGTAAGTAAAATAAATAAATTTTAAAAAATAATTATTTTTTATTGAAAGTTGTTTCAAGCTTGTACGAATTTTTTTGTGCTTGCAAAGAAATAAATACTTTGCATAAATACTTTGCACATTCAAGTGAAAATAACGATTAGAGAAAGTATGCATAATACATACTATACTGAACACAAAGTGTCAGAGGCATATCTAAAACGACAAAAAGCCATGCTTTTTGCAGTTCTTAAAATAGGTTGGACTCACATATCAAGCCCAGCGTATCGCAATACTATAGCGTAATATAAACAATTTCATAATATCGTCCGCAAGAAAGTTCTCATCGCGTGATGAATAAATTGACTAATCACAGATAATTCGTTTCCTAAAAAAATGCTTCTTTCACGTTGTATCGAGCATTCTACTCATATCAAATGTGAATCGCAACATAAATCAAAATTAATAACAAAGAAAATAATCTTAGACTGCATTCCGAGTTACGTACGAAGCGCATGATATATCGTTTTATTTTTCTTTATTATTATTAGTGAACAACAAAAACAAATGATGCATCAGGCGCTTCATGCGTAACTCGGAACGCATCTCTTAAATGCATTGATATTATAATTTATAATAAGCGAATTTTTAGATAAGAGAACAGCCTTCGACCGATTTGTCTTTCGACATTATGTTTCGAACAAACATATTTTCGATTAATTTTATTCGATTAATTTTATTAAATAATTAATAGAATAATTTTTATTAAATAATTAATGAAATAATTTTAACTCGATATAATTTTTCTTGAACGTGATAAACGCAATGATATCATTATCATACGTTTGTAGCACATTTATACTTTAAATTGGAATAATTTCAGTCTTTCATAAAATAATATCATTATCAAAGCTTTACTTTTCATTACTTTTTATGGTAAACAATTTGATGACGATGTTGCAACTTTTAATGATGATAACGCTAACTAACTAAACGCTAAGGTTGTGCTAAGGTTAGAAAAGTCACTTTGAAAAATAACTTGTCACCATTACGCGTTACTTACTAAAAAAAAAATAATAAGTAACGAATAAAAAGTAACAAATTAGGAATTATTTTTTTCAGTAACGAATGACTTTTTCAACTCATTACAAGTAACAATTGACTTTTCTAACTTCGATGTTAGCATTACCAAATAATTATTATAACAAGATAATGGCGTTATAACTAACTTCTTACTTGTTAACCTGCAAAATACGTAATAATTATGTTTACCTTGCCGATCTCTTTCCTGATAATTTTGGCCTTTTTATAAATATCTGTCCGATCGCACAAGTCGCAAACGTAGCCATAACACGTACCTCCGGCCGCCCGAATAAGTTTAATAGTTTCCTCAATGCCTGAAATAAAATAAAAACTGTACGAAAACGCTATATGTCTTATACTTTATTTATATAGTATTTCAACAGCAATAATTACGTGCGTCTTATATCTTCTACTCAGAAAACAAATTTATATTATGAGGTGTAAGTGAAGTACTACAAGTCAAATTTACAAAACAGAAGAAAGTCCTAAGAGAAAAGAATAGTAATTTTTACATTAGTTGCGTTCAGCAGAATGTTTCTTTTCCTATTGTTCGAAAGTTTTCTTCGCGCTCATTGGATAATATTTTTAGATCTAAAAATATAATCCAATCAGGATGAAGAAAATTTCCAAAAATTAGAAAATAAACATTCTGTTAAATGCGATTATTACAAAATCGTTGTTGCTTTCTTATTGATTTTAATCTACTTCATTATAACATTGCAGACTTACAAGCTATGTTCTATTTTAGAAGAAATAGTGATCCATTGTTAATATCTCTATAAAAAATTTTCAATTATACATGTATAAGCATTACACACTGTCCTGGTGCAAAAAAGGACCCCGCACAAACTCTGGAAATTAAATTTCGGTCGAATTGATTGAAAATTTGATATGTTATAGATCTTATTGTCCTGATAAAAAAATCTCCACAGGCACGATTATAATGAATCATTTCATTTTTTAAAATTAATACTACAATATCTTATTTTCAACGAATACGGTGCATTCCTATGTCATTATTTGCATTTTCTATTTTTATATATATATATTTAAGTAAAGAATTATAAAGATAATATTGGTTCTCATAATACGGAGTGCTTGATTATTATAAGTCTCCTTATTTCTCACAATGGAATGCTTGTTTATTTAGAATCCCCTCGCCTGTCGGGATAGTTAAATCTCTAAAATCAAGTTATCGATCTCGATATCTTTATAGCTTTTTTATAAGAAGCAATCAATTCAACATTATCCTTATAACATTTTTTAATTTAAAAATATACACAAAAATTGCAAATAATGATAGGAATGCACCGTATTCATTAAAAATAAGATAAAATATTAGCTCGTTTTAAAAAAAGACATTTCGTAAAAGTGAAACTATTCACTATAAGGGATCGTGCTTGTGGAAATTTTTTATCAGAACAAGATCTACAACATATCAAATTTTCAGCCAATTCGACCGAAATTCAATTGCCATAAGATTTGTGCGGGTCTTTTGTAAGAGTTTGTCTGAAAAATATAAAAAAAAAATAAATTCTGATATATTTAAACAGATATGGATAGGGAAAATATTTCATTTTGTCTGTAATTATACGAATTTGTATGAATTTGTATATTTCGACAATTTTGAATGAAAATAATTTAGAAAGAAATTTAGAATTCAGATACATTTGACATTTTTTCTTTACATTTCGAACAATTTTGAACACATTCGGATAAATTTTTCCACCATGGTAATAATTACATCTAATAAAAAAATAATATTTTATATACACACGCACGCACGCACGCAAGCATGCAATCACAAAAGATTGCAAATAATAACTTAAAATTATAATCATTTTAATTAT